CTGAACGCCAGCGGCCCGAGGATGCTTCTACACCAGCGGCACAAAGCCACCTTCTCTCTCTCTCTTCCACGGGCACACACAAAATGACTTTAACTCACTCACAGAGTAATTCTGTAGTCGGAAGCGCATCTGACCACTGCTTTTTGACTCGGGTAAGGCTGCTAAACAATGCCTGGGGTATGCTCTGGAGACTCTGTACCAGAGACTGGGAATACTATTTGTGAGAGCGGCTTCGTGGGATTTTGCTAGCCGGAGTTAAACCACGACAGCCATAAAGAGAAGAGGGATGAAACGGCTGAAATGAATGTCCCCCTGGTTGCACAATGGACGTACAGGTGTCTGTGGTAGAGTTGCTGTTTGTTTTGCAGGTTTGCTGCCGTGTTGGATGAGAAGCCAGACTGAAGTCTATCCAGAGACTCGGCTTGATCAGCTCCAGATGGAAAACAAAGAGAAAGTGACCCACGATTGCCCACCAGCAGAGAGGCACAGAACGGGTATATGGCATCTGCACTCCTGGGCGGTGCTTCACGTTTATTTTCACTTGTGTCCTTCTGTTCTGGCACGCACGTGATGTAGCAGAGCCCGTCTTTGTGCAGGTCCCCTGTGGCTTCCTACTGCTGTGCATCCCACCTGGCACAGTAGTAGGTAGCGGCGTCTTGCCGAGTGACTTTGCTCACCGTCAGGGTGCAGACGGATTTGGTGGGGTCCTTCTCGATACTGAACTTCCCCTCATCAGACTGGTCTTGAAGGAAGAGCCTGGAGGCCATGTAAGCGATGCGCCTGGGAGCCGCGTTGGGCCTCTTTTGGTACCAGTGAATGAAAAGGTTGTTAAAATCCGGATCGGAGACGTGGCAGTTGATGAGCACCGTTTTGCCCTCTGGCTTGGTGATGGACACGGGGGTTTGCTGCAAGGCTTGCGCAGAAGCGCCTGCGGGAAGGGAAGAGACAGATGAGAAGGATGGAGCTGAGGTAAGAGCGTGTCCCCCTTGTCCCCGGAGGACGTGCAGGCAGCGGGGTGAGCCGGGCACGCACAAGCCAAACCAGCTGCCATGAGGAACGCTCTCAGCAGCCCCATGGTCACTGCCCCCCTCACGGCTTCCTGCCGGGGCCAGGGCCAGGCTCGAGTGGTGGCAAAGCAGAGCTGAGCAGCAGAAAACCACCCGATGGGGCTGTGCCCGCTGAGGGTGCGTGAAATAATGATGCACAAGCCATTTCCTTTGTTTAACACGTAAATTAAAGGAAACAAAGAAACAAAACCCCCTCGTAAACAGAACTACGTAAGAAGAGAGCCCACTACTGAGGCAAACACATTTTTCTTTTTTTGCCCCAGGTAACTTGCTGAGGGGATGAGGAACGTGTCACCTTCTTTTGTCTCTCACCATTTGATCCATGTGCACTGGCTTTATAGTCACTTCTTCATATCCAGGTTTTTAAGGAACATGGGCTGTCAGAGGGAGGAAGAGGAGAGGTGCCCCTCGACAGCAGGCAATGTTTCTGCCCCAAGTGACCGAGATGGGAAGCTTTTTTGGGTAATTGCTGCTGTTTGTTGGTACAGTCCCCTCTAGGCACCCGCTGCTGCCAGGCAGGGCGCTGGGCTGCACGCGGCAAGGGGGGACGTAGGGTGACACTTTGACTCTACCTCACGCTGGTGCCGCAAGTCCCTTCTGCCTTTCCTTCCAGGTTACTCGCCTGCAGCAGCCAAGCAGCACTCATACGCCAGTTTTCACAACTTGTCAGCCCAGTGAGTTCCTGCAGGCGAGCCCAGCCTGGCAAGCAGGACCCAGGAGTCAGGGGAGGCTTCCAGCCCTTGGGAGCACAGAGGAGGTTTCTCTGCCAGCTGCCCCATGACTTTCTGAGGGTGTGAGGTCCCAGGAAGCACAACAAGGGGTGGCCGCTGTCCGTGAGTTTATTTATTGTCAGAGGTCAGACGAACTCTGCCCTCGCCTTCTCAGCCCCAAAAGTATCTCTGTAAGATTTGCCATAAACATCAGGATCCTCTGAATGCACGTGCACAATGCGCTTTGGTGCTTCTCTGGGTTTGTGTTGGTGCCAGCGGATGAAGGTATTCCAAAAGTCTGACCCCGAAAATGGCAGCTGAATTTAACATTCACTGATATCCCTATGTCCCTCACCATTCCATATTGTCTAGTCATTTTGGTCACCTACGATCAGTTTTGGTGGGATACTGTACATTTTCTCCATTTCTTCTCCTCTATTCCTAGATGCTGCCATTGAGTTTCATCTCGCAGGGAGCTGCTGTGACCTTCTGCCTGAGGACACTCTGTTCTGTTCCAGGGGCACACCCACAGGTATCATTTACTCATCCCGATGAAACGCTCTGCCTCCTGCTCCATCTCCACGTTGGTCCCTGTGGCTGTTCTAATGGCCAGGGCTGAGGGGAAGGAAACCTGGTGGAAGGTGTCCCACAAACCACCCCTGGCAGGTGGGGTTTGCAGACGGGAAGAGGCTGGATGTCTGCTCCCACACGGCACAGGAGCAGCGCTCGCTGCCTTCCTTCTCCCGCTTGAATCCTAGCAGGACACAGGCGCCTTCTCGTGCGGAGACAGATTTTCTCTACGGAGATGGCTGTTCCCCCGGTGAGGTCAGAGCCTGAGGGGTGGAGCATTTCTCTGGAGCCTTCCCTGGAAGGACTCAGAGCCAGTGGATGTGGGTTGGCTCTGAGCTGGCCAGCCCAGTGCAAAAGCCTTCAGCACTGTGGTCCTCGTGTGCCTGGTTATAGCAGGGTCCTTCTCCAGGGTAACAGCCCTTGGCCGGGAGCCGCAATCACTGCTGGGGACTGGCTGGGCCTTGGTCACCAGGGAGCAGGTGGTTGTGTCTTTCTTTTTGTTTGAGCTGCTTATTTTGTCTTTTTTCCCTTCTCCATTCTATATATTAGTAGTAGTAGGATTCTTTTCATTACTTAGTATTATTACAGTATTTAATTTATTTTCAATTATAATTTTCAATTATTAAACTGTTCTTATCTCAACCTCTGAGGTCTCCTATCTTCTCCCTCCGACCCTCTCCCCCCTTGCACCGGGGGAGCCAGGAACTGCGGAAGCAGCCGTGCGGTGCTTGGTTGCCGACGGGACCTAAACCATGACACCTCTCAGCTGGGTCTGTGCAACTGGGGCTCACAGGAGGTGACTGTCCCCGGGTCAGGGCGCATCACCGGTGGCACAGAGGAGAGCCGGCTCACACCGACGTCTTCCTGGGGAGCACTATGCTGCAGCCTTGGCAAGTCGGTGCACGAGCTCGCGCTGCATCCACGCTTCTCTGACCACCTGTGGGCTGAAATTTTCTCTTCCTTTCTCGAGTTTCTGCACAGCACAGCAATTCTGGCTCTTCACATTACCTTGCGGGGTATCGGACACGTGGTCCTATATAAAAAATGACCAGGACCTTTAAAGACATTGAAAAATAGGGCAAGAAATGTGTACTTACTGCGAAAGAGATAAGTGGAGGAGACTTCCAGGAGGCTTCCATTGAGGTGGCTTGGTGCTGTATTTCTACAGCCTCAAGACCCAGTGTCAGGCAGCCAAGGACTGACTCACTGGCTTGCTGTTTTTGAGCACTCCAACTTTAAACGACTTCAAACATTCATTTATCAGTGCTGTTTTGGCTGAAAATCAAATACTTCAGCACTAATGTCCAAGAACCACACGTTGAGCAAAGTTTTCAGTCTCCCCAGTGAAGCCAGGACAAAGCAGGGGTAGGTTGAACAGAGAGAGACAGAGGCAGGAGGAGATACGTAAGAAAATCACAGGGGAAACTGGCTTTACAAGGTCTAGTAGTGTGAAGAAGCTAGAAAACGAAGAATTTTTTCATTTTAAAGTGTTTTCCCACAGTTAATAATTTAGGTATTTATTTAGACACAGGTCGACTACAAAATCACTTTAAGCAGAGGTAGCATATAAAATTGCTTTTTCCTCTTCTCCTAAGGTCTCTTCGAGGTGAGTCAGCTGAGGAACTTGTTACTCGGGGCAGGTTCCCCACGTGTGGTGTACGCCGTGAGCTGTACTAAGCACGAGATACCAGGGTATGTTGCTGTAGTGACTGACGGTGCAGCTGGAGAACGGACTTCCCGGTCTGTCTTCGCCTCTGGGGTGAAGTAGCCGGTAACTGCCAACACAAACCTGGTTTTGCTTCTGTTATTGCACTGAATTTGCCCTGGGCGTCTGCAGGTAAGAGCCAACTTCATTTAATGAGAGATATTAACGAAACAAACTCGTGGCTGATGATTGATCCAGTGACAGCTAAATGCACAAACGCAAATTCTAGCGTTTACCACCCTCTGCTGGGTACAAAGGAGTAAAACCCTCGGAAGCCCTTTTTGGGGAGCTGTGTGGATGCTATACAGCATCCATAGCCGTGGATGGCCGCTGAAGATTACTGTAATACTCTGCAATTTTAAGGCAAAACAGTTGTGGGTCGGTCACTTTTATTTTCATGACCAGTTTTTAAGTGGTCAGCAGTGTGACGTTCTTTCTTGGGCCAGGAGATACGTGAAGATCCGCGGCATTTATAAAGCCTCCCTTGTAAAACATACGGCTTACCGACTTGACATACGGTGT